AGTAGTTTGTAAAAAAATTGTGCAATTCAGTATTTTTACTGTGATGTGGTTTTAATAAACCAGTCTATCTATCAGTCTATCTATCCTAGAGACGCACCTTAATTCTTTTCACTTCCCAGCCAAGCAAAGTCAATTTCTTTAAGTAAGAGAAAGCCTAAACCATTCACTGCAGCCACTACTTTCATGTTGCTTTTCCATCTTTCTCTACTGCAAAACATAGGGGCCAAAGTTGTCTCAACACCCCAGGATAGTGCTAATGCTACAGAAGATGCAAAGGTTTATAGTTTCATGTTCTGATTGGTTTGGTGGGAATAGCAAAATGAATATGGCAATCATGACCATTTCTACAGTGCCGTTTTGAGTTTTACCACTGCAGTAATGCCTCAGTGTCTTACAAATGATGGTGACCAATACAAGAAAAGTAAACTTGGGTTCTCTGGCAAATTCTGCCAAAGATATTGCCTCTTTTTGCAAATGAATCAGTGCAGCTATATCGCCTCATGCCACTGCAACAGCATTATCTCATGAAAGATTAATTCTCTGGATCTGAAACTTGGCAAACCAAAACTACATAAAATAAGGAAAATCTACAGAGCAGTCCATCACACTATACTACAAATTGACCAAATGAGAAGGTATTGGATCTCAGCCTTAATTCCTTTTCCTCTTTTGACGATAAAATTGTAAAATAGAAGATTTGTTGGTGAACTACCCTGAAAACCTTTAATACCATTTTGTCCAAATTGCCTTTTGAACGCACCCCATCATTTCACGAAATTCCTCAAATTCTATGACACCAAGCCAAATACTTTTTTCCCTCCAGATTATGAGTAAAATCATATATCATAGGTAAAAATTTGGAACTCACTGCAACAAATCTGTGACGAGATATTTCACTCTCAAAATTGGCCAAAATTCACCAAATTAGCCTCAAGTAAAGGAGAAGTCATAGGTTAATCAATAACTGCACTTTATACCGGAAGTCGCAAATATGAAACTAATAAATTTTCAACGCGAAACAGGGGAAATACAAACTACAGTAGTTTACTATTAGTGCAGGTCATTTCATACCAACTTCTATTCTTAACGCTTACTTAATTCAGAAACTATTCCCCAAGTTGTTGCAGCAAAAATTGTCCCCCCTCGCGACATCATCGCCATATTTGACATAGATCATGAAAACTGCTCTGTGGCTATACATGCACATCCTGATCAAAAATTACCCTCTAAAAAGAACTGAAAAAAACACAGATTTGAAATCATAGTAAGGATTCACTTTAAATTCAAATAAAAGAGGCAATTTCACTGCCTTTCTGTGAAAATTTCTTAAAGACATTCATAACCATAGGAACAAAATTATAAATTTGTGGCTACAGCAGCATACCTCGTTAGATTTTATCGGTTGACTTGAATTGATCGGCACCAGAATATCAACGCTTCTGTATACTAGGCAGTTCGCTGGAAATGAAATAATTTAAGTTTATATGGTTTTCTAATATTGGAGAAGGAGGGAATAAAACTGTTAAAATACAAGTTTGTTTCGCAAAATGTGACCACGAATTGAAAATCCAGACAGCCGCGTGAATTAAGAATTGTGCACCAACACATCATCTTTCCTTTCGTCAATGATAATTTCTAGTGCAATTTTCATGGTCATTACGAGATTACACCTTCATTCACGTAAAGCAAGGGAAGTTAGAAAGGACAAGTGAAAAATTAAAGAGACAAACGAAAAAAAAAGGCAAAGCGCGTTCGAAATGCGACACACAAAGAAACATTTCTTACTCGTCGAACTACAGACACCCTTCTCCTGTTCGTCGATTAAGAATTCCACAATGGCCATTTGATATGTGAGAAAAAAAAGAATCAAAGCCAACAACGATGTACTTCGATACACAACAGATCTAAGTCTTGGAAAAGTCGCATAGAAGCTGTCAACTGGCGAAGGACCAGCCATGTTTGTTGTGATGATGCGCTTTTAATCTTGTCACGAGATGTCACAACGATCGTGACGTAACGCAACTGTAATGGAGGCGCGCGTAAATTAGGAGGTCTCTTAGGGACCTCTCGATCGTCTCTCACGGCAGCGAGTAACAACACTCAGTGAAAGTTCATGGTTTATATTCAGGCTCGGAGTCTCTGCAGTTCCTTTTAGCTAAACGAAGAACGTCAATTGTCACGTTGTAAAGCATTTCAAAACAACCTCGTTCCAATGCTTTTCCCTCACTTAGGGGCAGGTGCGGGGCAGAGCGGGGAAAAGGACTTGGGAACGAGGTTGATTTCAAAATAGTGTAGTGTCTGATGTGGGCGTCAGTGAAAGGAAATCGTCATCGACTTGTGCGAGTTATTGAATGGGTGCGCCGATAAAAAAGGCCTGGAGAAGAAACGGGCTCCAAAAAAGGCATGGTTAGTCTTTAGAATGGGTAGGGCTGGATAGCAACACGACCTCTCACACGTCCCTATTCCCTACAATTATCTATTCGAAATGGTACAGTAGATATTTTTATTTTAGTCCAAGAAAAGATACAGATACACAGGTAACCGGTGTAGGCGCCAAAATTAAAAAACCAGGATGCTTCGTTATGTAAATAAAGTTTTGTCAACACCAAGATTCATTTTATTCATTTAAGCGATGACCGAGGATCAAGGCCGTTGAAGTACTGGCACTAGTTTCCTATTGAGTCTTGCTAGACACCCCTATCAAATTTTCCGGCGATGCACTCAGTGTCGCTTTACCCATGAAGGAAGAAACAACATGCAAGTGCAACATATGAACGGTGTTATTCACTTTGCCTTCTTGACCCTCTGCATCTACAGCGAGCTAGCCATCTCTGCGATGAATAATAGCAACTGCAGCAATGGTAACAGATTATTTTTCATTTATTTTACTTTCCCACTAGCTATTAAGTAAATTAATTTGCTCTCTGAGCTTCGCAAAACAAAACAAAATCAAACAAGTTGAGTCCTTGGCAAAATTAAAAGCACACTGAAGAGCGCGCTTACAAGGTATTATTGCTGTTGAAACTTATCATCTCGTATACCTGAAGAACTTGATGTAAATTTAAGATCGATCGCTAGCTGCAAGCTATACGCTTTGAGCTCTGGCTTTATTGAACGATGAAAGTCTTCCTTCAGCACGGCTTGAATCCTTGAAAACCCAAATACACGAATTCCAAAGATTCTTGATCGCATCTGAATAAGCAAGAAATTGTCAAGGCTACTCAATGTGTTTTTTACTTTGCAACAGCTGTATCTACGAGGTCTTATCTCGTTTAGTAGTAACATTAGCGATATTGCACATCTGATGAATTCTTAGTTTGTTCATATTCAATGAATCAGATATGGATATAAAAAAACTCTTAGTCTTTTATCAAATTTTTCGTCGAACCGGAAAAAATGCTCAGTGCCTTTCTATATAAACAGTCATCAGGATATATTGAGAATTAACGTCCGACTTCCAGCAGGTTGCTAAGAAAAGATACAGATACACAGGTAGCTGATGTAGGTGCCAAATTGAAAAAAAACCAGGATGCTTCGTAATGTTGATAAAGTTTTGTCAAGAACAAGACACTTTCGCTTTAGAAAATTGGCTTTGAAAATTATGTTCTTTCTCGCGCCAGCAGCATCATCCTCGGAGACCCAGGGGCTGTGAGTCGATTTCAAGTTAGGACATGAAGAGCCCCTGGGGACATTGTCTTACAAGACTAGTTCCAAACGGTCGCAGTCGTTCTGCCATCTGATTGGTGCCAGAAAATCTTTGTGTTTTTCTGCCCAATCAGAGTGAAGTGTGCTTTAGAGTCCTNAGTATAATTTCCGGTAAGATTTTCGCGGACAATCTGATCGATTTCTCTTACATTGTGTGCTGAGACTGAAACCTTTCACCTCAAGCAAATCTCCGTCGCACGGTCCAAACAAACATAGCGTGCAACTGAGCTTCTAGTATATGTCCGTGTTAAAACACACGAAAGGACTCTAAAGCACACTTCACTCTGATTGGGCAGAAAAACACAAAGATTTTCTGGCACCACTCAGATGGCAGAACGACTGCGACCGTTTGGAACTAGTTTTGTAAGACATGTCCCCAGGGGCTCTTCATGTCCTAACTTGAAATCGACCCACAGCTCCTCGGTCTCCGAGGATGCAGCAGCATCTAAATTGAATCGTCCATTGGTTAAGTTTGTCAAACTTGGTTACCACTGCTTGGCCGTTGCTATTGAGACGCAAATCATCATTCGTTGTGGTAACATAGGAGTAAATCCTGGAGCTAATCAGTCTTTAACCTATTTCATGCAAAATGTGAGGAGTCTAAAGGCTGTTCGAGCTGTTGAGGGGTCGTCTTCTTCAAGATATTGTCTATGCAAATGACTTCGACATTCTTAGCTTTCATTCGAAGACGTGGTCAAATTACTCAATCGATGACCAGGAGATATTTCCCACTGGCTACAATATTTACAGACATGATCGCATCGATAGAGATTGTGGCGGTACACTGACGGCCATTAAGAGCTATTTGTATTCGTCAGAGATTGTAAAATCGTCATAGTTCTCTTGTCTGGAAGTTACCTTGGTAGAAATTATCAATTTAAAAAATTATCGCAGTGTTTTAATTGAAAACGCTTACCGACCACGAGACAGTGCAGATTTTGTGCCTAAATTTTCTGACTTACTCAAATCACTGCTGCTAAATCGATATTCTTCCGTCGTCGTGATGGGGGATTTTAATTTTCCCAATATACAATGGGTTGACAGAACAGGTTTTGCGAGCTCTTCCACTGGTGAGGACTCCAAGTTTGCGAACTTGATGATGGGACTACTATCTGTGTCAGCTGGTTGAAAATCCAACCACATGCAAAGGAAATAATATACTAGACCTTGTTGGAACAAACCTCCAACCTTTATTCAACCGGATGTATTAACTGGCCCTCAGTGGAGTGATAGTGGTCTTCGTTCTGGATTGTCCTCTTATTTTTGAACTTGCAGTAGATGCATGCCTAAAACAAAATTCTACACTACAACGCTTTGACTTCAAAAAAGCTGATTTGTCTTCCTCGAATGAAGCTCTTATGTAAATGCCACGTAGCTATGAGACTATTAAGACTGAAGAGGACTTTGATTCCCTTTCGGACTTTGTATTTGCAACCCTGAATAGTTACGTGCCGAAAGCATTTTTTCTGGTTCGACGATAGTGCTTTTTATACAAACAGTTATCGGGATATAATGAGAATTAACGTCCGACTCTCAGCAGGTTGCTAAATGGTGTTTGTGTTTACTACTCGAGCCTAGCCCTGGGCAACGAGAGTCTTCATGTGAAGGCCGTCTTTTTTTTTTTTCCAAAAACCCGTCAAACTGAAAAGATAAGTCTCCGGATATTTGTATATATTTTGGGGTACTGGGACACTGCATGATACCGACCGAAAATGGTTTCAAGGGAGTGAGCGTATTCTATAGTTCTATACGATGGATAATAGGGATAATACGCTATGAGACAGGCTTTCGCTTTTCTGTTTTAGTTCGAGTACTGAGGAAGACTGGGTCAACCTCACTGCGGTAGCAGGACTGGGAATAACATATTATTATATCATATTATATTATATTTTATTAAAAACTAGATCATTGGATAATGCAATTCAAGACTTTTTATTGGCTTAGCCATTATGGTATATCAGCCTATATACCATAATCTACAAATGTGGCAAGCATACGTGTCAGCTTAAAATTAAAAGGGAGCTAAAAATTTAATAAAATTTAATAATTTAATTCAACGTTTTTAATAAAACAATTATTCCACT